TTTAATCATCTTTCCCTTGATATAGTCAACATATGTACCAAAATCAGAGAAATCTAACTGTTCAAGAGCACCAGACTTTACTAAGGATTCCAATCGCTTTCTTGAAGCATGTCCCAATCTCTGGTGCCGAAGTATGGAAGAATTGCTATTAAGCCTAGGACGCTTTGTACCAGACGAAGATGAATTCACAGACATGCAGAGAGGGGAAGGGAAAGATGCATCCGGATTTAATCTATAAAGACCGTCAATCAAGAAACCATGTCCGATAACATCCAAACCATTTCTGATAGAGACAGAATTATTCTCGAAAACAAAGCTATAACCAGATCCAGAAAGTCTAGAAACTGAAATAAGATTCCTTCTCATGGAAGGTACGTAGAAAGTGTCTGATAAAACTAAGGAAACTCCAGAATCCAAGCGCAGACTGAAAGTCCCAACGAGCTCCACCTTCATAGGCTGTGAGTTTCCCAAAAATAGCTGCTCATTTGCCCTTGCCTTCCGACTGTGGATTATTCCATGTGATGAAGTTGAAATGTGCACAGAGGCACCAGAATCAATCCACCAAGAATTTGAAGGAACATCAACTAAATTTGTTTCACAACAAACATGAACTAAATCCCTACAAACTGTACTGTACTGTCTCGCTCTAACGGATTCCTCATTCTGCTTCTGGATAAACTGTCCGTCCATCTGTATTACACCATGAACATATAAATCAAATGAGACCTTTAATTTTATTAACTTTAATATTTCCACATCCAATTTAGGGTTAGAATGGATGAGTCAGAGTGTTTTACGTATGCAACCTTCCACTCTGCAGGACAGGCGGGTGCATCATCTCATCACACCTTTGGGCAAGTGATTTGACATCTATTCGCCCCCCAAATGTGATATATAATCACCTACAGAACTAGCCTACACAGTGTCAGTTTGATTTGAACACTTCCTAACCTTTGGGCAATAGGGTTATTCTCCTCTCACTGACATGTTTCAACTATCCTGCACCACTTATCCTGTAGGGGATTTCCTAGACACCTTTGGGCAAGACTAGTAGTCCATCCACAGATAAGTGAAACCTTCTGTCCAAATGAGACTAAACTCAACCTTAGAAAATTAGGGTATTATAGGTTGGTCACCTTTGGGCAAGACACTAACCTACTATACCATAATTTCCAAGTGACTGTTTTACTGATCTTCCTTAACCCCATAGGTTGATCTAATACTGTAATCCGTTTTATCATGAACCCAAATATTTACCCCCACCTGAATTAAGGATATAATCAGGGTAAATCAATTATCTTTATGTGCATACAATAATCTTTATGAATTGTCCAAATTACTGTATTAAAACTTTATAAAAAGAAAATTAAAACTGTATAGTTGAAAAGTACACAAAATGATCTTTCCAACGACTATTTATGGGCTCAAATCGGACTTAAAACGGATCTGTAACGACCAAAACAAAATGAATGGTCAAAACTGTAATGGGTCGGGTCTGGAAATTAACGGATCTGGCCCATTACATAATGGCTTGGGTCAGATTTTAATGGATCCAATCCATTACTGTAGCGGGTTGGGTCCATTACATACTGGATTGGATCTTCCTTAATGGGTTATATAATTCAAATAATAAAAGATATTTAATTAGATTAATTAATTAATCAAAACCCTAACCCTAAACCCACCGGATCCAAGAGGAAGCTATCTGCCGCCGCCATCACCCAACACCGGCCGTAAGCGTCATCACCGGCTGCAAGATCTAAGTTCATATTTTGGACATGCCATGAACATGATTTACGGCCGTGATAGAACGGCAGAGCTTTAAAAAAAAACTTATATTTTTTATTTATTTATTAATCCACTAGTTCACCGCTAGTCTATATGCGGCCATGGCTGCAGAGCTTTTCCAGTTAACAAAAGAAATAATATTCTAGATCAAAAATAATATTCATTGGAAAAGTTTGCTGCGGCCATGATTAAAAAAAAAGTTTGCTGCAGAAAAGTTCCGTGGCCATGACAGGAGTTTTTTTCATCTAGTGGCAAAGGTGAAATTATTGTAGATCAAAAGAACTCCAGCAGCAAAAGAAAGACCCAAAAAAATTTATTATTTTAATCCGAAAATAAAAACTTTAATTCTAGATCAAAAATCATGCACAATCTAGGCTCTGATACCACTGTTGGATAATTTGATGATCTAGGCATGAATAGATGAACTAGAAATATAAATTAATTACCGTTCACCGACGAAAATAATGGAAGTCTTCTCCTCTCTCCTCCCGTAGCCAATGATGGGAATTAGGTCTTTTTTCTGCATACGGTTGAGAGGAGGGACTCCCACCCTTTAAATAGATATTTGTGATTAACCCTACCCATCATGGTTTAATCACAACCGTGGGATTACACTCCGGTTGATCCTATACTTTAGATATTCAAGATAACCACCCAACTTGATAAACTTGAAACTGTCTAACCAGACCATGTGGTTAGCATCCTGATCCTAACTTGAATCGATGACAACTTTAAATCAAATCCAAAATCGAGTAGGTTGGGCCACTTGGGTTCGTTGGATTAATCGAACCCAACAAATTTTTCATTCAGCGGTGTAATTGCAAAAATTAAACTACATGGATAATAAGTTTCAAACTTCAAAGTGTGATATCTATAGCTACATCCGAGCTCATGTTCAATCAACTCCGAAATGTGAGGTTATTACAGACTTAACCTCACATTTATTGTCAATGAACTATTTATTAGCTTATAAAGTACTAATGTCCAGATTGAGTTATATTTCGGCTCTCCCTATACGCACTAGAAGGGTGCAACATAAAAACATCCTTCTTCAACACATACTGAAATATTAGAAATCTCTTTGCAACACATTGACATCATGTAATATCTATATATATAAAAGGTCTAGATGTCCATTATGAAATCGTAAGGTCAAATGTTGATAAAAATTTGGAGTAAAATGGCAATAAGTGGGCATTATAGTACAGAGAGTAAATTTGCAATTAACTTAAAAATCAAATTCCATATTTTTACAGACATGATTGTTAAAGATTTCAGGGAGAAATTAAACAAAAATAAAGAAATAAAAAGAGGCTTTTAGGCATTTCTGTAATTTTTTAATATAGATTTGGGCTAATATATACAAATTCATGATTTCTGTGTTGTAACCACATTTGTTGCGTAAATATTTTTTCAAAGATTCGTCTCAATTAAAAAAAAAACTTGCAATTTAAACCTTTCTACTCACATATAAAATTGCAGTTTTTTCATAATACCCAGATCCAGCCGAAGCAAAATTAGCACCAATCAGTAAATTCTTCCCAGATGCCTGTGGACTCAAATATGCTGGTGCAAAGCTAGTAAACCCCAGAGTCTCAGCTACAAAAAAATAAAATAAAATAAAAAATAAAAATAAAAAAGAACGAAACACTTACAATTTCACCCGAAAAGGGGACTCAACTGCAAAGCTTCTAACATTAAAAATCACCAGTATAATCTGTAGCCAGCTTCCCATTGCAAAACCTCCCAGTTGGCTTATGACTAGAAAAATCCCTGCCATAAGGAGGGAAGTCTGCTTTAATAACCGTGGGGAGATAATCATTGTTTCCGACGTCGACTGTTGAGTCTCCGAAGGTTATGATTGCCGGAACGAGGGCGGTCGACGACTGTCCGTGGCCAGAGTAAAGAGGAGAGGAGGAGAACTAGGGCTAGTAAAATTGTCATTGTTGCATAACTGGCCATGATGCAAATGTATGTGACTACTTATAGATTAGGAGGTAGATTTGGTTATGTGCACTGAAAAATATGGATGGAGACGAAATTGATGTTGCTCTTCCTTTATTGCTTTTGTACTAAATTGTGGTGTACATGGGCCCGGTAATAGCTAGCTCTTGTTTGCAGCACTTGGAAGAAGTCTCATATATTTGAATTGAGGCAGGTTAGCACATTAGCTTATAAAATCATAACCATCTTTCCTCATCGTAACATGGTTTTGGTACAGCGGCTGGGTCATTTGACGTGTTTAGAGCAATTCATATTCAAATCTTACGGGCCATAAATTTCTTCAGCCGGTGTTAAAAAAAACGCTCTATAAGTTCATGTTTCGATCCTTGAAAGGCGTCAATCTGTGTTAGAATATAAAATTATAACCCTCAAGCCTCGCCGTAAGTTTGGAATTTTGATGCGGCGGAATTTGACAAGGAAAACCGTAAAAACTATGGTTTCAACTCAAAGAGACGAGTTAAAAATTAACTTGAGTTTGAATTCTCTCGAAGGAGGTCTTCCTGCTTCCCTCTCTCACTGTTCAAAATTAGAGGTACTTTTTTCTGCGGGATAACAAGCTCCAAGGCGAAATTCCAGTCAGTCTCAGCAATTGTTCTAGCCTGCAGGTCCTAAATTTAAGAAACAACAGCCTTATAGGACGTATACCACCTTGTTAACAAGTCTTTCCTTGCTTTCTGATCTCTGTCTGGAAACAAATTATATGGTGGCTATCTCATTTGTTTAAGATAATTCTATTGGGTTGATTTGGTCATATTTGACCGGGTCAAATTATCGAAACTCACCTAGGTATTTGAAGCCTCTGTACCCCTCACCTTTGTTGGAGGGCAAATAGACCAACTTGTCAGGAGGAGATGACTTGAGGTGTGAAGTGCTGATTGCAGAGACCAACTTCCACCTTCAGTAAGTCCAGGTCTTCCACTGATGCCCAAGGATAAAAGTCCAGGTCTTCCACCTTAAGTAAGTCCAGGTCTTCCACTGATGGTTATTTATTGTCCACATTAATTTGCATTACACGGTTGAATATTCCAATAACTTCAATTCTAGAAAGCGAGACTACTGCTGACAATTCTTTGAATGGTGCTGAACTTTTAATCAACTACGATTTTAGCTGAGACTCGTGTATGAAGACTGAAAGACCTTAAAGCTATAAATAGATAGTAAGAATTCGATCATGTATCATTCATATCACATTTGCAGAATCCATTCCAATGTCACCACAGTTTGTTTTTTCAACGCTCACAGCCCTAGTCGTCCTCTCATGTCCACAAGCTTCCACATCCAACCCCACCTTCCACCTAAAACACGACAATTTCACTGATCGACAATCACTTCTCTCCTTCAAATCCACCATATCCGGCGATCCTAGAGGATCGCTGTCCTCGTGGAACGACTCTCTTCATTTCTGCCGATGGCAAGGCATCACTTGCGGTGGCTTCCGGCATCCTCAAAGGGTCATATCCTTGAACTTGAGCTCCCTCGGTCTTGTTGGAGTTATTTCGACGGCCATATCTAACCTCACATTTCTCAGGGAGATTGATCTGTCGGACAATCAAATTAGTGGATCCATCCCACAAGAGATTGGTCGCCTTTCCAGGTTGACATATCTTAACCTGAGTGTGAATTCTCTCGGAGGAGGTATTCCTGCTTCACTCTCTCACTGTTCAAAATTAGAGAAACTGAGTTTGTCGCGTAACAAGGTCCAAGGTGAAATTCCAGTCAGTCTCGGCAATTGTTCTAGCCTACAGCTCCTATATTTAAGTAACAATAGCCTCACAGGACGTATACCTTCTTCATTAACAAGCCTTTCCTCGCTTTCTTTCCTATCTATGTCTGGAAACAAATTATATGGCAGCATCCCACGTGCCATTGGAAACCTTACTTCTCTAACTCAACTCTTCCTATACAATAACAGCCTTAGTGGCAGCATCCCATCTAGCATAGCTAACCTCACCTCTCTAACTGTACTTTACTTGCACCATAACGAACTCACTGGCAGCATCCCATCTAGCATAGCTAACCTCACCTCTCTAACTGTACTTTACTTGTACAATAACGAACTCACTGGCCGCATCCCACCGAGCATAGGGAACCTCATTTCTCTTACTAGCCTTGCACTAGATCATAACCAGTTATCAGGAAGCATACCACATTCATTAGGCAGCCTTTCTGAACTAGAAGAGCTTGATTTGTCGTTTAACAGCCTCTCTGGAGGCGTACCACCTTCATTGTGGAATCTCTCTTCTCTTTTGACTCTAGATATGTCAGCAAACTATCACCTATCTGGTTCACTTCCGCCAAACATAGGCCAAGCTCTTCCTCGGCTTGAATTTTTTTCCCTGGCCTTTAACCAATTCCACGGACCTATCCCAATGTCATTATCCAATGCATCTCATCTTGGAGAGATTGAACTTGCTGGAAATAGATTTACTGGCATAATCCCTCCTAGCCTCGGACGTTTACGAGAGCTGCAAGACCTACGTATTTATGATAACTACCTTGAAACAGTGGAACCTGATGGATGGAATTTCGTAACCGCTTTGACCAATTGTACCCAGTTGGAGCTGTTGGACATATCGTCAAATAATCTTAGTGGCATGCTACCGAATTCAATCGCCAACCTTTCCACCAATCTTAAGGCTCTTGCTATGTATAATAACTACATCTCTGGAAAAATATCTTCTGATATCGGAAACCTTGTAAACCTTACGGCACTTAATATGGGTGAAAACTCGCTTTATGGCTCCATTCCTTCAAGCATCGGGAAGCTTCCGAACTTGCATCTACTGGAATTGGACATTAACAAGCTATCTGGAGAGATACCATCTACCATCGGCAACCTTACTCAATTGAATGAACTTTATCTAGATTCCAATGAACTGAGCGGGAATATACCAGCAAGTCTTGGAAAGTGCCAAAACCTAATATTGCTAAATCTCAGATATAACAAACTTACGGGTAGTATACCCAAAGAAGTTGTCTCCATTTCTGGGCTCTCCAGAGGTTTAAGCTTGGCATCCAATTCACTGTCAGGGCCAATACCATCTGAAATCGGGAGCTTAACAAACTTGAATATATTAGATTTTAGCATGAACAAATTGTCCGGTGAAATCCCTATCACTCTCAGTGAGTGTCAAGTGCTGCAGGAGCTTTATCTTGGTGGAAATCTCTTTCAAGGAAGTATTCCTTCTTCTTTAGCCTCGTTAAGAGGCATCCAGGAGCTCGGTTTTTCAAGAAATAACTTGTCGGGAAAAATACCTCTTTTCTTACAAGATTTTCCTGGCCTAGACTATTTGAATCTGTCCTTCAATAACTTTGAAGGTGAAGTGCCACTACTCGGTGTGTTTGCAAATGCAAGTGCAGTTTCAGTAATTGGAAATAGTAAGCTTTGTGGAGGGAACCCAGAGATGCATCTGCCAGCTTGCCCTTCTGAACCCTTTAACAAGAAACATCACTCGCGTACAGTATTAGTGATCTGCGGGAGTACTATTTTATTTATATTTGTGATTCTTCTTTTCTGTTTCCTCGTAGTCCGATGCCGTCGAAAAGGTTCAAGAAGAAAATCTCTTGACTCATCACCCACAATTGAGCAAAATGTGCAGGTCACTTATGGTGATCTAGTGAGAGCCACAGATGGATTTTCTGAGAGCAATATAATTGGGACTGGTAGTTTTGGTACGGTATATAAAGGACTACTCGATGGTGAAGGTAGGAAAGTTGTTGCTGTAAAGGTATTGAACCTTCAAATACAAGGAGCATCGAGGACGTTTATAGCAGAATGTGATGCTGTGAAAAACATCCGGCATCGGAATCTTCTCAAGATCATTACAGTATGTTCAAGTGTAGATTTCAAAGGTAATGACTTCAAAGCTGTAGTTTTTGAGTTCATGGAAAATGGAAGTTTAGATGATTGGTTGCATCCCAAAGCAAATGAGCAGTCCAAACCAAAGAAATTAGACCTTACGGCAAGGTTAGATATAGCTATTGACGTAGCTTATGCTTTAGATTATCTCCACCATCAATGTGGCAAACCAATTGTTCACTGTGATCTGAAGCCAAGCAACATTCTTCTGGATGATAATATTACTGCTCATGTCGGTGACTTTGGGTTAGCCAAGTTTCTCAAAAAGGTTACCTCTCAATACTCAACAAGTTCAGTTGGTCTCAGAGGAACTATCGGGTATATTGCTCCAGGTAAAAACTTATATTTTCTTGATTTCGTTACTTTTATATATGTTGTATTATTTTTTAGGCTAAAATTTTAAAAGAGAACAAGATTACCATCTGAACCATAAACATCACCATAGATTTTCCTTTTATAGTTGAACGCAATGCATTGTTTGTTTTTCTTAACACGTGCAAGCTTCAAATGCATACATGCATGTTTTACTAACACATTTCTGTTAGAATATATGTTCTGAATTTAAAGATGTAATTTTATTATCATAATTAAACTATGACATCTATGTGTTCATCTTATGTACTTCACTGAAAATATTCTCTTAGCATTCCATATATTGCCAAATTAATTTGGTAAGGAAAATGCAATACTCAGTCTTACTTTATTCTTTCTCTTGGAATTATCTTAGTGTAATCCATTCTAATTGCTTCTATGTATTTCACCTATAACAGAGTACGGAATGGGGAATGAAGTTTCAACTTGTGGAGATGTGTATAGCTATGGGATCCTTTTACTTGAAATGTTTACAGGAAAGAGACCCACTGATGATATGTTTGTAGGAGGTCTTACTCTTTCTATGTTTGTGAAGATGGCATTTCCTGAACAAATCACAGATGTCATTGACACTCATTTGCTCACACCAAGTGATGATGCTGAAAGCATGAATTATGCAAGAGCAACCAACTGCATTGCTTCAATTCTTAGAATTGGTATCTCTTGCTCAAATGAATTACCAGCAGAGAGAATGGAGACGGACAAAATCATCAAGGAACTGCATATTGTTAGAGATATGTTCTTGAGGAATGGAAATTATGGCGAGAGACAGAGAGTACGGCAGAGTGGTGAAAGTCCATCTACAAATATACACTGACAAACATTGGTATGGGAATGTGCTATGCATGTGACACACACACTAATAAAATTCACACACAAAATTCCTACTGAAATTAATTCGATCGATCATGATGGTTGATTTAAGTGAGGATAGCCAATTTACTATGGATAGTTTCTACTGAAATATATTGCTTAGTCATTATGGTAATTTTAATTGCAAATATTTAATCGTGGAATGATCCTTTAATGTAAGCTACATAAAAGGAAATAAAATTGCACAAGTATACTGTAGAGTAATCCTATTGAATTCCATACATTCAGCTTCATTTTATTTTATTTTATTTTATTGGTCGATGAAAAATATAATTCCATTAACCAAATGATCGAGCATTTACGTACAACATCAAGGTATAGGCATACCTGAGCAATACAATTTACTTCAGACACATGAAACCCCTCAAGCAACAGAAAGATAATGAAACAAAAGCTAACAGCCTATGCATTGTAAATAGTTACCAACATCAAAATTAATATTCTGGAGGGATGGGATGGTGAAAGATAGCAGGTTGATAGTGCTTTAATTATTGTATTAAACCACTAGCATTGTTGCGTGTTATAGATAAATTCTTGTTGAAATTCTCTGTGCTTATATATTAGTAACCAAAGTGAAAGTGGTTTTTATTACTAAGTGGAAGAAAATGGTTCCTACCAACACCCATGTGTGTGTATTTGTTGGGTGTTAAAGAGAATTCCTGTTGAAATTCCCTCTGCTCACACATTAGTAATTTAATTAAGTTGCCCCCTCAATAAATATTGACGGAAGAAAGAATTCATGCGGTCAACCATCCTTCTTGTTGTTATTTTTTTGTCTGCAGAATTTCTCAGTTTATCTTTATGCTATGCTACCTTAGTTGCATATGTACATATCATCAGAAATAGAGTATGGGATGGACGTAGAGTTCTTATTCCTAGAGATTGCTGTAGCCATAAAGTACTAATGTTTTTGCATAGAGATGCTGGTGATATCTTCCAAGTTTTAAGCCTTAAGAAATTTGTTAATATCATTGATTTCCTTGCAATGTCATTGATTTACACTTGTTTATAATCTCCATACTCAGGACCGACATTTCCTTGCAATGTCATTGATTTACACTTGTTTATAATCTCCATACTCAGGACCGACATTGTCTGCTCAAGCAAACTACTGTAGAGGAATGGAGATAGAGAATGTATTGAAGCAAACAAATGGTATCAGGAACATAGAGATTTATAGCAACAATAAGAGAGATGAACATGTTTTTGTATATGTTCTCATAGTGGTTTCTTTGTAATCAGTAGATTTGGATTGTTTGGAAGTATACCTTTATCTATTTATATGTTCTCATAGTGGTTTCTTTGTAATCAGTAGATTTGGATTGTTTGGAAGTATACCTTTATCTATTATTCTAAATCTTTTTGGTTTCTTTGTAATCAGTAGATTTGGATTGTTTGGAAGTATACCTTTATCTATTATTCTAAATCTTTTTTCGGATGTTTCTGTTGAAATAAATTAGAGGATTTTTATGGAAAGATATCATTTAATAATTGGATTCCAAAGATGAAAATTAAAATGTGTTTAGTAAGTAGTATGTGAGTTTTAGTCCCACATTGGCTAAGTAAATGTATTTTAGTTGGTTCAAATTAACACACGTGTTATATATGGTATAACAAATGTGTTAGTATTATACACTTGTTTTGGTATATAAGCGAGCGTGCGAGCAAGCGAGCGGGACCGTGCGTGCTGGCTCGGGCGCGCGGTCTGGCGTGTATGTGGGCGCGTGCTCTTTTTGCACGTGCTGTCTTTAAACGAGCCTAAATATTTTGCATGTGCTCACTTAAAACCAGCTGAACCTTTCGTGTGTTACAAACGTTACAAGGATAGAATAGGTTTTATGGCAGACGTTACAAACGTTGCAATAACTAGAATTCAAATATTTGTCTCCTGTGAACCTTATAAAAGGGTTTCTTCTGATTATTTGAAACACATAGAAAAATGAGATTTCTTGTCTTCTTCTTCTTTAGATAATTCTATAAGCTGTTAAGTTTTGGAGGTTCTGGCGAACTGAAGAAGTAGTCATGGTGTTCACAAGAAAAGAGCGTTGCTTTGGACTGTAGCCGTCTCATCCTCAAAAGTACTGTGCAGACCCAACGCTATCGTAGATGGGTCATAGTTTCGTCAAGGCCAGTCCTCTGTTAAGAGGGCGATTTGGTACTTCTGTAAAGTATTTCAAACTTGAAGTGTTTTTAATATGATGTTTTGAACTTTCTGCTCTTTTCTTTCATTCCTGTATGGTTTGTTCTGTACTACTTTAGATTTATTTTTATGCTTGGTGTTCCTAACAGTTAGCACATTAACGTATAAAATCATAACCATCGTTCCTCATCGTGACTTTGTTTTGGTGCAGCGGCTGGGTCATTTGACATGTTCAGAGCAATTCATATTCAAATCTTATCGGCCATACATTCTTCATATGATTAAAAAAATTGCTCCTTAGGTTCAGGTATCGATTCATGAAAGGGCGCCAATCTGTAAGGACGTCTAGCATATGTTAGATTGTTGCGTCCAGCAGAAGTGGACTCAATCTACAACAAGTCGGTAAGCAATGCACAAAGAACATAACGAGCACAATCCACAATATAAACAGCCTAGATCAATCACAAACACAGAGAATTACGTGGTTCGGTAAGATGCCTACGTCCACGGGGAGAGGATGGGGAGATTTCACTATATGGAGGAGAAATACAATTGGTTATAATAAGTCTCAAACAATCAAACTAACCATCACCAACAAGATCTCATTCACCTACTCAAAATCTCCCTCTAAAAGTGCTAAAAAAAACTCTCATATATATATATATATATATATATATATATATAATATATATAAGAGAGATGAGAGAGAGAGAGAGAGAAAATGGGTATGGCTTGGTAGTGAGGTGACATGAATCCCCTCCACTCTTTCAAATGGTTGATAAATATATAATTATATATATATGATTATTATATATATATATATATATTATATATATATATATATATATATATATAGTAGAGAGAGAGAGAGAAGAGAGAGAGAGAGAGAAACACGAGGGAGGTGAGCTGGCAGCGTAGGAAATTTCCTGCGGCTGACAGCAAGTGTATGACATGTGAGCCCCACACCGATGTGACTAGTAGGGGCTCACATTCATACACTTGCAGCGTAGGAAATTTCCTACGTGCCAGCTCACCTCCCGTTTTCTCATATATATATATTATATAATATATATATATATTAATATATATATATATATAATATATATATATATATATAATATATATATATATATCATAATAGTATTATATATATATATATATATATATATATATATATATATATATATATATATATATATACCCTAACAAAAAGTCACGCGCTTGGCTTTTTAGCCGCTCCGCCCTCTCCAGATCAGTCGACCGATAGGATTCATCGGTCGACCGAAGTGCACGAAACATGCACCAGAACAAACTTCGATCGGTCGATTGATAAATCCTATCGGTCGACCATCCAGAGGAAATTTACAATACTCAGGACTCAGGGTCATATCGGTCGACTGATACATGGGATCAGTCGACCGACCAGAGAGAACTTTCTAGTTTTATGGTGTACCTGTTGTGCATGTTTTCAACAAGAGTATAAAATTATAACCCTCAAGCCTCACTGTAATTTTGACAAGGAAAACTGTAAAAACTATGGTTTCAACTCAAAGAGGCCAGTTGAAGAAAACATTGAAAGTATTTCACAATTAGTGGAGTTATGATTTGATCGGTCGTGACTGCATAGAAGTAGTATATCTTAACTAACTTTTTAGTTTATTCTCCTCCCTTCCTATGCATTTGTATCAATAAAAGGCTCATGACTTTTCTTCAAAAGGGAAACGGGAAACCTGACTGAGAACAAGACATCAAGTTGTTGATATGTTCTCGGTTTAGCATATAGTTGGCCTGCACTCGTCAGTGTCTGTGATTGTATCAAGCAATACTATTTGCAAGCTCATTTATAGTGAAAGTCTACTCTGTGGAGTTAGGGAAGAAGAGGAGAGTGGGGGTGGTTTGGGGGGTGGGGAGGTGGTGGGGGTGTTTTATGAGGGCATGTGATGCTGCAGACAAGGTAGGGTTGAGGCCTTTTGATTTGCATTCGATGGGCTGGAATTCTATAACCAACTAACCAACTTGGTCCTAATTAGTTCTGTGCATGTGGAAATACGTGGTGGCAGGGGAGGGAGTAAATGTGGAAGACAAATCATGTTTAATTGGTTCTTGACTTTTTTTGGATGGCACTTAAAGATGGATGTTTTACAGAACTACCATGAACTTTAGGGTGTTATGCATAAAACTACCACGTGTGGATTTTTTTTACTAGGCTATCAATATCATATCTCACAAAGATAAGTTGTCATGTACCTCACATCGTATACTTGTTTCAAGCAATTTTGTCCTTCTATACTATAAACATCTTCTATACTATTCTCTCCGGCCCATCTCATATTTTAAGTATAACTTAGACCTTTTATCTAAGTCGTCAAGGTTGGGATTTTTTTGTCATGAAAATCACATTTAAAATAGGATGAATGTGGTAGAAACTATATTTGAAGTTTTTTTCAATATGTAAACCTCCATATAATTGAGTTTAGTTTACTATATTTGAAGTTTTTTTCAATATGTAAACCTCCTTATAATTGAATTTAGTTTACAAACAACCACTTTTTATTGAATTCTGCTCGGTTAATACCTTAATTATCCACTCTATCCTCGTTAATCACACGCGAAGTTGTGAAACACGTGTTAGGCACCTGTAACTAGCGAGGGTAGTATGAATACGTTGGGTACTAATTGAGCAAAAAATTGCAAAACACGTTTGATGGAAAACAAAAGCCACCTATAAGGTGGTTTACGTATTAAAAAAAAATTTTAAGGTGATTTCTATCGATTTGAAATATTTCGAAGATGGTTTTCATGAAAAACCCTTGGTTGTAGTTAGCAACAAATTTTCATCAGTTCATTGTATTATTTTGCAGTCTAAAAAATTCACAGAGCATTGTATAATTTTGCACTCTTAAAAATTCACAGAGCTATCATTAGAAAAGTATGTTAGTTTTGTCTAAAAAATCCAAAGTTCATGGTAATTTTATGAATTTAACCGTTTAAGATGATTTCAGTTCTTCTCTTTTGTTGTCTTATTTTAATTGGGTATAGTATTCGATAGTTTTTAAATTGCAGTATCATATTACTAATAATGGCTTTAGGCCGCTCCTTGAACAGTCATACACACTCATTTTTCTTTGTTCCATGGATAAAAAGCTGTGAGCCTGATCTTGAATCTAAAATATCTCAAGATTAAAACAAGAAAACTTATATGACTTAAGGGTCATGGATAAAAGAAACTGGTTTCCCCCTTGCTGCGATCTTCTCAAAATTTCCAATAAAACCTGGGCACATATCAGTTCACAATTCTGTCTGATAAAGAAAGAAGATAAGTGGCTTTTAAGAAACATTACAATACATTCCAAATGGTACGCTCGATTGAAAAATGGTGAGCTCCAGCTTTATATTTACACTCTATGACAAAACTGTTAACTTCTACATACACCTGTTGTCGCCTACAGTATACAAATATATAATGGAAGACCTTATGCATAAAATGAAGACCTTCCATTTTCTCCCTCTCTGTTCTCTCGAGATTTCAATTTCTTTTTATGGCAAAAACAAAATACAAGTAAAAAAAAAAAAAAAGATCTCCTGCAGCTAGTGTTGAATGCCTGTCGCTTTAATGTCATGATTGCCAGAAAACATTAGGGTCATTGCTATACAATGAACGATCCTGGATCTCTAAATTAGCGACATGCCAGTCAATGAGTCGTGCTTGGAAACATTTACAGAACAGCAATAGAACCGGAAATAACCACCATCCACTCTCCTCCCTGAAAAAAATCAAAACAAAGAAATTTAAATTCGGAATCATTCTGGATTGATTTACAGATCAAAAGGGTAGCAATATCTACTTACGCCCCAATATTCCAGGGTTGTGAGCTCTGGTGTTTTCGGGCAGATGATTTGTAATGAATAAACCCACAAATCAATGCCACAACCTACGCACAAGAAGCACTTTAAGAATATTTAGATAAGAAACAAAGCATTGAATAGAGAATCTCAAATAATCATGGGATTAGCAATATACAAAAGGGTTCATTGCGGACAGACCCCTTGTACTATCCCCAAATTTCACGATAGACCCCCTGTACTTC